TATTGAAAATATTGTTAGGAACAATACGTACGAACTGTCAAACATTCTATTTGAAGACTTACTGACTTCCCATGTAATCGCTCTTTCAGTTCACGGATCAACTTGGTCTGAGTCTGCGCACATACTCTGCTTTCTGACCAATTCCACTCTCGACAATTAAAACTCATCTAGCCCAAGTCTTCCTTACATATCAACTTATGCTAGTCGTACCATTAGACTCCATTTATTTCATTCATTAGACTCCATTTATTTTTCGATTTGCCTCCTTGATAGTGCCCTACATATATTACTTTATCTCTTTACTTTTAACTTAATCAGACTCCACAGAGTGTTGAGCCCATTTTGCTGTCTTTGACAAACGAGCGTCTTTCAGCCCACTCTTATCGTCCTACAGGAGAGCGTAAATCTATTTATCCACATTTGGTCGTCTGCTCAGCTGCTTCCACTACCTCTGCTGCTGCTATATCCTCCTCCAGGTTTTCTCAGTCCTCAAATTCCAGGGATCGGGCTACTTTTTCGCCGACCCGGACGGCTGCTTCCGTTGCCGCAGCCATCGTTGCGGCAGCTGCTTTTCCCGATTGCAGGTCTGGGGAAGGATTTTCTACTGGCAGATATCGGCCATCTGGCTCTCCAGTGACGTCCTCTTGGACAGGCCAGCTCTCCGGCAACTCACAAGACACGGTAATCCCTATGCTTTCTAATTACATCTTTGTTCTTTTTTTTATATTTTTAAAATAATTTCCTTTATATTAATTATGCTTAAAAACCCAGCTTACAGAAACCCATATATGAATAAATATATCTGATCAATACTAATCGTTCCATTTTTGTTTTAATGAGGCGCCCGATTCATGTACTTGGATTTGCAAGTACAATTGGGCATGCTGCTAGCAATTATATATGGGTTGGCTTGTAACTTCAGTTTTCAGAACTGCTTCGTCGGTTTATTACAAGTGTTATTCTTTATAAGGAAGGTCTAATAAATAATTCCAATATCGGTTCTACCGGTTTACAATTGATGAAAGCTTTCGCAACTTCGTGTACACTCGAGTTTTTCGCCTAGCAGTGCTCTACATACCGTGCTATTACCTTCTGGGCTTATATTTGTATTTTGATATTCGAGACAGAGTGTAGAGATTCTTAACTCGGTTAATCCTAGGATTAATCTAATCTAATTTGTTTATCTTTAATTGTTTTAACTTCTTTTTTCCAGCCCATCCAGTCTCGTATACTTATCCCACCTGCCTCCTGTCCAGGTACGAGTACTCAACTTCATCCAGTGAGTTCGGTCTCTCGACCCACTTTGGTCACTGAGACGGCCACTATGAACCTGGCAAGCCATAAAGCTCCATCAACTTCGGCTTATGGCCAATCTTCTGTTGGCTTACTCTGTCCTACCAGTCGCGCCAAGTTCGTATCCATTGCTCCACCACTCGCTTCCAGGGCGGCCTCTTCCTCAGCCTCTG